AGGAAAATTCAAAAACGCCTCCTCTTGCCTCATGGTAGCTGGTATTCCTCTGCAGTTTTGCTTTTCGCATTGTAAGAATCATCTATGGGCCTGTCCTCCCACACAGGACCCTGAGTTTGCCGTAGAGAGAGATAACATTGCTCACCTTTGAGCCTCCACTGCTTGGGGCTCGACACACTGCGCAGTAAACACTTGCCGAATGAATTGCCAGGTGGATGAATGGTTGGATGAAGGGAGGGGGCCAAGGAGGAGTGTGGGGATACTTGAGTGGCTTCACAGACAAGTGGCATTTAAATTGTTTCTTGAGGGAGGCAAAGCATTTTTCCTTTTAGGATGGATAGGCTGAGGAAAGGCACCCCAGGCTGACACAAAACAATTTACAAATGTAAAGAATTTAAATATGTATTAAGTTGAGGGAACAACAAATGCTTGCCTAGTGAGCTGGAAGAATAAGTGATAGAAATGGTAAAGTTAAAGATAGACAAGAAGGTTAGCCCTCTTAAGAATGACCTTGTGTCATATCACGGCAGATAATCTGAACACCCAGGTACTGAAAACCACTTTGATGGTCATGTTAGTTAAGATAACCCTACCTGCTAACCCCACCAACATCTCAGCAGCATTAGAGAATCGAAGTTCATTTACTGCTAATGAATACAGCTATTTAAGTGATTGTCAGTCTTTCAAGAAGTGATTTGGGGGCCCAGTCTCCTTCCCACTTGTGGCTGCTCCAGTGGTCCCAGGTGCAGAGTCCAGCTTGGGGGGGTGGCGGGAAGGAGGGAGAGAGGGAGGTGTGATTGGGCCTGTGGTCTTGTCATTTCTGCCATGTTCTCTGGGTAAGAATTCAGTCACAAGGTCACACCTAGCTGCAAGAAAGGCTGGGAAATGTACTCTGGCTCTGTGCCCAGAAGAAAGAGGAAATGGATTTGATGAATACTTAGCCAGTCTGTCACTTTTGTCAAAGGAAAAGTGCGGTTCTCTGGATCCCTCATGGGAAAGGTAGAGTAACTCTGGCCATGTGAGTAGTTCCCTACCAGCAATTACGGGTGATTAGTGCTCTGCCTACTGCCTAGGGATATTTAAGGCCACTTTTAAGAAATCAGCTCCTGTTTGGTAAGTATCTCCTCAGGGAGAATTCACTCACAAACACTTAATCTGAAACTGTCACTCCAACATTGTATATGGCCACATGTTTCCATTAATACCAACAAGGAGTTGAAACTATAAACTCTGAAGTATTGGAAATCACTGTAATCCTTATTATAATAATATATAATTATAACAATGCCAATAATCCTTAAGTGTAAGGACTTTCTTCTAACACATTTTCCCACCTAGGCAGAAATAAATATATAAATAAATTTGTCATCAAATAATTCTGGGGTTATATTTATTCTGTGTTATTTTAAAATTATTTTTAAACTATATTTAAGAAGAAGTGTTAGCTTTACTAGTAATCAGAGTCAATATAAAACAGGTAAAAAGAAAAGAGCTAAATGGTGTTAATAGTCCCTAGACTCTGATTAGTGTTTGAAGCCAAGTTTTCCCTACATTACAGTTTTGATCATCTGATGGCATGCATACCCATTCATGTAATGGGATTTCATAACAGGGTACATGTTTCCTTGAGTGACGTGCATCTAATTCCTCCACATTCACCTACATGCTGCTTCCTACTTCCACCATTCCTGTTATAATCTCATCTTGTAAATTCATCATAAAATAAAAATATGGATGAAGGTCAGGAATAGATAATGTAAAAAAATCAATTTTATTGTTAGCATGCAGTTGTTGTGTCTCAAGTATACCCTCACTTCTTGTGCAAACATTCTTCTCATGGGCTGCTTTTGGCCAGAACTTTGTTATTCTTGCTAGGGCTCTAGGTACCAAGTGTGGTTCTTCACTGGAGCCCAAAGACATGGGAAGGCAGAAAAATGGCAAGCAGAAAAGGAAGCATTGCAAGGTTATTTCTTCGTCCAGTATGCTTAAATTGGCACCAAAGAGTAGACCTTAGAAGGGTAAATCTCTAAAAAAATTAACTAGTTCTAAAAGTTGTCTTTGAAGTTGAAATTCCATCTTCAGCATTATATATATAGACGGGACCTACTTTTAATAAAATATATAAATGCATAGTAGTTATTTGTATGTAAATATAGAGAAATATTTAAAATAAAATACAACAAAATATTAACTGTTTCATCTGATGAGTTTAAGGTGATTTACATTTTGCATTTTTCAGTACTTTCAAAAGAGTTTTTACAAAGAGTATTTATTTTTGTAATCATAATAAAAAAGTAAACATCATTAAGAAAGAAGAAAAAAATAGGAATTTTCCTTCAACTTGGCTTCAACTCTTTTTAGAACATGATCCTGATTTCTTCCCTGGGTACCTGAGGGAAAGCAGCACTAGCCCATCCCAGTCAACAGTGTGCCCCCCATGCCCATATCTAGCCCTTCTTTGGACCAATAGCCTGGGTCTTACCTTGAAACTCTGACTCCCATATGCATCCTTTTGGAATTAGGATGTACATTTCACTGAGTATCAGGAGAATCTAAATTATCTGGCATCTCTCAGGCATAATTGGCATATTTAATAATTGAACACTTCCTTTGTGGATTGTTCTAAATTCTAAATTCTAAAGGCCCATTTCACTGAACTCCCGAAGGGTTCTCAGCATGGAGGTGGACATCTACCCTGAGTCTGAAGGGGGCAGGACTTGGTTACCTCCTAGATTTTGCTTGTATAACTGAATAGGTGGCATTCATGAGATATGGTACCCTGGAAGGAGATTAGCTTTAATCAGGAATTAGGAGTGTTGGGGGTGGAATTCATAACTCCATGTTTATGCATATTGAACCTGAGATGTCTCTGGGAAATCTTTGGGAATTCAAGAGGCTGTCAGGTAGGCAGATGGGTATGTGGGCTGAAGTATCTAGCCTGGGTATACAACTTTGTGCTTCATTTGCTAATGGGGTAACTTGGAGTTACTAACCTGGATGGTATGTGAGAGGAAAAATAGAAGAGGGCCTAGTACCTAACCTAGAGAAATCGCAACATTTAATGGCAGATTAGTAGAGAATAATCCGACAAAGTAGAAGAAGAAAGAATCTCCCCAAGGAGCAGGAGAAAAGCTGTGAGTGAATTAGGTCCCATAAGCCAAAGGTAGAAAATGTATCAAGGAGCGTGTTGTCAAAAATTCAACTTTTGCTGAAAGGTTGAATAACATAAGGAATGAAAAGTACTGTTTGGATCTAGAAATCAGTAGTCACTGGTAACCAGAGGAAAAGCTGGAAAAAAAAAAAGTAGAATGGGACCAGATTTCTTATTGGAGTGGATGTAATTAAATGAGGTGAGAAAATGGAGCCAATGAAACTAGATGAAATTTTTTAGTACTTTGGCTGTGAACAGGGATGAGAGAGATAAGGAAGAGATGACAAGAGATGAGGAATCCAGTAAGAGAGCTTTGTGTATGTGTACGTGTGTGTTTTAATGTGACTCTAGATTGTGCCTCCAAAATTGGTATACATTCGGAAAAGATGTTACTGAATAATAATAGAGTACTAGGCTGCACTTTTGACTGCTTTTTATTTTTGACAATTTACAGTTCTGTAGCCGCAGAGGCTAACATGGAAGATTTCTATCCAGTTGAGATGCAAATACTTGCTATCTAGAATGAATTCCGGTGTGAACTAGGGTTATGGGCCTGTTCCATATTACCTGTATCATATCTAACCCAGAAGTCTAATCCTAATATTTTTTGTCAAATACTATTTCACTAAATAGGTGACATTTTAAATGCTCTTTGGATTGATTTCAACATCTTACTTGGTGCCTCTATTTTTTGATAAATTGAATAGAACCATTGTGTGTGTGTTTCATGTGTGCCTAAGGATCATGTTTTTTTACCTTTTTTGAAAATTATACTTTAATAATTGTCAAGCAGTTAAAAGAGGAAAACTGAGAGAACAGATCAAGCCCCAGCTCTATGAATGTGGAACGAATAGATTCAGAAGAGCAGGCGAGGCAGCAGAGCCGTATAAAGGAGGAAGCAATATGCACACAGAGCAGAGAAAATCTGAGAGATATGTGAACATCCCAGATGCAAAGATGTAACTGCTTGGATTTTAAGTGTGAAGCATATGAATTCACTAAGAAAGTCTGGATGATACTTTAACTAAGTCAAGTGAAAAAGATAAAGATCTGTGCTCAGAGAACAGAAGTTGAGTAAAGTACAACACGTCCAGATGCATTTGTGAGTAGTTATCCAAAAGCAATAGATTGGTTGAACTGCTAGTGTCTTTAAGTTTCCAGATAAATATGCTGCTTTCTGAGCAAAGTTCCACAAGCTTCATCAGAGCATCTCAGTCATTTTGGTGCCTTCCTACCTCTTAATGACTTAGCACTAATGCAGGCCATTTCCACACAACCCAGGAATGAAGGGGTCATTATGGAAATAGAGCAGATGTGGTTAAAGGCAACAGTTCACCATACCCCAAGCTCCCAAAATAAACTTGCTTACATAACACGCAAAAACCTCCCAGTCACTCCCTTGGGTTCTTGGCAGAACAGCCGATTTCCACCAAGAGGAAATATTCCATTAGCCAAGATAAGGAGCTCTACTCACTAACATTTTGGTCACTCCTACAATAACTCTCTTGATGAGCTTCTACTAGAAAGGTCTTTTTTTGGCCCCTTTCGCTACACCCAAATGGTAGTTGTGTGAAATAAACTGGTCAGCAAAAATGACAGATTATTGAATGGTAACTCACTGGCTTACCTGTTTTCCCACCAAGGATCCAATTATCTTGTGAACCAGCTCCTTCTAAGAAGTCACTGCAATGCCACTCACTTGGAATATGTTTTATCAAGTCACCCATCCGTTGCTGTGACTCTATATTATAAATTCATCTGGGGCAGGGATCTGACTGTTTGCAAATTGTGCCTATTGCATTGATCTTTCAAACAGAAAGCAAAATTCATGTTTTGTTTTTTTTTTTAGTAAGAAGAATAATGATAATGAAGATAAAGCACAAAAACACTTGGGGGTATCTCGATCCAACCCAGGGCAGGAAGGCTGTTCATCAGTATGGCTGGTGATATGACGAGTGCTGGAAGTAGCACCAGATACTCCTGATGGATTTTGGCTCTGCTAACACTAGGAGACGGGCTCTTCCAGATTCTAAACTTCTGACCATTGCAAATGACTAGTCAGCTTAGAAATGGGGTTACAGTGTTTGACTCACCAAAAAAAAAAAAAAGGATACTTTGTCATTGGTTTTTCTCTTCCTCTGTGTGAAATCAGACTTCCTTACCATATTTTATCACTTGTTCTTATTACTTGCACTAACCATGAGGAGGTCAAACTCTTATGCACACGACCACACAGGAAGAAGAGAACCCTGGTGGACACCCGGTGCTGTAGCCTAAACCCGGCACCTACAACACTGTGAGGGGAAGAAACATGGCAGTGGGGCTCACTGTTGCTCCCATGGTGTGCAGACCTGTCCATGGGCAGAAAATAGGGAACCCAAACATTTGTGTTTGCTGCGGAGGAAATGGCTCATAGTCTTTCATCGTGTGGCGGCAGGCAGAGAGCTGCAGTCACCTCTTCATGGGGGAAAGCGGGAGGGAGGCCACGGGCATCCCTCAGCCTCGTGCTTTCCCTATGAGGAAGGTCAGATGGACTATTTTTTAATCATTTATGGGTTTATTTTGTGTCTACAAAACACAGTCATTCATCATTTAAGTATCAGACATCATTAGAACACATTTTAACACTTTTTCTTTCTTACTTTTACGATACAGTAATTTGCTTAAAAAAAAAAACAAAACTATGAACCAATGTTCTGGTTTCCTCTCACTCAACTAATGTGCACCTCAGGGATGGCAGTTTGTAAGTCGGTAACATGGCAGGCAGCAGACTGAGGTTCAGAGGACCTCCCACTTAAGAGTGCTAACAAGCTACAGAGCCTGCTCTCTCTATCCCTTCTCCTGTCCCTATCCTATTATATGTACAACTTTTTATAGATTAGGAAATGTGTGGGGGCTTAGAGAAGTTGTCACTTGCCTCAGCTCACAGAGCTGGCAAATGTTAGAGTCCAGATTCAAATCCCAGGCCTGACTTCATAACCTTACCCTTAATCTTTGTTATATTAGTTCCACAGAAAATTAGCATTCATTTAGCCTCCTCTGGTCCAATCTTCTATAGCATCCGCACACGCCCTTGGCAGCACACTCAGCACAGGGCCATCTCTGACTGTAACCCCCCGTGAGCGAGCAGCACCGGGCAGTGTGGCCCTTCCTCCGCCGGACGCCTGCCCCACCAGAGCACACACAGTCTTCACAACCGCCTGTGCCCAGGAGACAAAGCTATCGTCTGAACAGGCCTCCTCTTCTGAACAGTCAGTTATGCTTTAAAGTGCAGATGGGAAATTATGTTGTTATGTACAAAACAAATATACTGTGGATTATATGCAACATTGTCATTTAGTTTTAAGGGAAAACATGAGACCTGTAGAAGTTAGCCCTTGCTCTGAGCAACTACATTCTACAACACCAGAAGCTGCAAATCCCACCACCAGCACCCACCACCAGCACCCACCACCACCAGGGCCTAATTATCTCTTCTGTCCTTAGAAAACTTCAGAACAAAAGTGTGAGAGGAACCGGTTTAGTGGACAAAGCATATTCTTTGGAACCGGAGTCCAAGGCTCATATCCCATCACTACTGCCAGTCTGCCACCAGCCTGGTCTTGGTGTGGTTACATCGCCTCCCGGAACTTCCCTTTCCTCATTCACACAATGGGAGGAACAATGCCAGCTTCTCAGAGTTGTCAAGGAGGATCAAGTGAAACAGAGTAAAGTGACCAGCACAGCTCCTGACATAAGCAGTTGATGCAGTGCCTCTTATCCATCCCTCAAGTCCGTCCCAACACTCCTGGCATCTCAGAGAGGCTCCCACTTGGCCCCGAAGCTTCTTGAACCTCTCTGCTTGGCAAGACTCAGTTAAGGAAACTTGCTGGAGAACAGCTAATGTGAATTTCAAGCTCTGTCTCTCTTCCCTCTTTTCTCTGTCCCTGCCTCGGTTCACGCACTGAAGAGTTGGCACCCCTCCCACCTGGGAGACCTGCATGCCGGCTGCAAACCACAAAGGCCCTATCTGCTTGGCTGCTCCCCTTTTATGGTCCTCAGGAATCCCAAAGCACAAAGCATCTGAGGCACTTGAAAAGAATGCAGAGAGACCTTTATGAAGCTTCCGGAAGGCTGGGGTTTCTCTAGAAAGATGGCTTCACATCTTAGTGGTGATTTGTAAAAGTGTGCAAGTTGGGGAGAAAAAGTAGCTCCTGAATCCTAGAAACACTACCTTTATTTGGGGCTGTTGCAGATTGTTCACTTTGGTTTTGTAGAGGCCTTCAATTCTTGATTCTGAATAGGGCGATCCATTGGTCATCACCAGGGATGTGGAAAGGGGATTTGCAAACGTGGACTGAACCTCATGAGCAGGTGCCTCTAACAGAAATCACACCCGGATGCTGTGAGCTCTCATTACACTGACAGAAGTGGCAAAGGAGACAAAATATCCAGGTGGACCCCAGGCTGTGCCTCTTGTCTTACAGCTGATAGCTTTCTCTCTTTTTCTTTCTCTGAGTCCTAGGGAATGGCTGGTTGGGGTGGGGTTACAGGATTAAAAAAAAAAAGAACAAACAGATTTTATGATAATGGAATGTCAAAGAAGGAGGTGAATGGCAGGTGCCTCTTGGGAGTCATTTGACAGCTTTGTTACATGTGATACTTATAGAAAGTTTTCTGGGTTTTTTTTGCTCAGGAAGCACCCAGCTACCCAGGTGGTGACAGGGTAAGGTTTCTTAGCCAGCACCTTTTTGACCTGATGAGGAAGCTGGTGACAATGTAGGCCTTTTTGTTTCTTCCAACAACCACTTAGCTCACAGCCCAATCTGACTACCTCCCCTTTATGCTCTCCCCTGGGGTGCAGGCTCAGTACCCTTTGGACATGGTGATAAAACCTAATGTCCTGATGTACACAGTTGATACACCTTTTAAAATTATATCATGTGGACTTTTTACTTCTTAGCACATTATAAGCCCAGTAGAATAAACTGTGAAAAAACTATCCACAAATCCATGAACCTGGGAGACAAAGAAAAAGGTCTGCTGTCAGCCAGGCCTGTTTCTGTGCCATCTGCCCTGGCAGAGTACCCCTCCCTCTGCCTCCCAAGCAGGGAGGCGGCGTGGCAGCAGTCAGCTCCTGCAGTCTGTAAAGTGTCAAGAGAGGAAGCAGGATGCTAGAGCTTCTGGAGTCTCTGCTTGGACTTGGGACTTGAACCCTTAATCCTCTGAACCAGAAGGTAGACTTTATCCTTCCAAGTTTTTACCTCTAAGCCAGCCACTCACCTCTTGCAGTGGGCTCTTCTATTAACTGTTTCTGCCCACATTAACCATTTCTTATTACACATCTGTTTATTAAATCCTACTTTAGAAGAGATGAGAGGCAAAAGGAAAACTTAAGAAGAAAAATTACTCATATCACAAGTTATGATGTCCTCACCAGATGGAAAGAAAATAAAAACATTTAGAAGTTCTTTTTTTCAGATCAGTTGAAAGAATGTCCCTGTATAGCTTGAATGGCAAGAAAAGGAAAATATTCCTCTTTCAGTAGGTACTTCCTCTACTTTAAGCTGGCAAGAAATGCTTCAATAACAGGTTGTACGGAATGTTACTTCAAAGACCTGGAATTGGCACATTGGGTACTCTTGACACAAACCATGCCAAAATGATTTAACTTCCCCCATCAGTGGTGTGTACAAATGGCACACATACCACTAACCACACATGCACACAATGTATGAGTTCCCACATTCCTGATTTCTTATTCCAGCCAGAGATTTTTTTTCCAGAGCTAAAAAGAAATGAATCAAGTTTGTAAAAGGATATGTGTGAAAATGCCAAAGGAAAAATGAAAATCAGATGTTTTTAAATGCAGGGCCTTAAGTGCTTTGCTGAGATGTTCTGCATCTTTCCATGGTTTCTCTCATCAGAGGCAACCAGGGAAATGACCCCTGAATCCTATAGAATTAAGGGATATCGGGTGTGGCAGGAGAAGAGTCACTGGCAGTTCTTTAGGATAGTTATGAAATAGCTACATCTTCTGAAGGAAAGACATTCCAGGCTAGTTCTTACGGGCATGGCATCTGTGTGGTGCGAAATGTTTTTCTGTATCATTGCTGCTTTACTTTGAGCTGGTGGGATTCTTGAGAAAGAAAGAAGTGTTTCCTAGAACAATGAATTCCCTGTTAGCATGCCTGGGTCTAGGAAGAAAAAAAAATATTTTTCAGCCTAGTGTATTAATAGACTCACAAAAAGATTTATTGGGGACATGGAGTGTTGGGACGGTAATCTTTTGCATCACAGTTTTTCTTTTGATAAATCCCTGATGTGAATTCCTGTGTTCTAAGCCAGCTTCTCATCAACAGAGTTAACACATTCTCTGCTGTTGCTTTCACAGAACAATATTGATCACAATGCAGAGGAGACTCAGCTGCCTTCTCAGGAAATTGCTACACACGGGACAAAGTAGATTTACTGACAAGATGACTGCCAGCCTTTAGAATACTCTGTTGCTGGTGACTTGGCATGTTTTATGTGTGCCACTGCTTATGAGTCCCTATATTGGATGAAATTTAAAAATCTATTAACCAAGGGGATATCAAAAACCTGGACCAAGCATTCATCAGAAGCATAATTTATAAATGTCTTATACACTATTGGGTCTTTATACTTTTCCCAATCTTGATTTGATGTTAAATATTTAACTAGGAGCATAAATATATCATGTGGGTAGTTGTCATTCTTTATTTGAATGGGGCATTATAATCATTCCAGGGAAAGTCAGAGATTTGAATAGTACCCTGAAATAGAACTATGATTAAGTAGCTGGAGAAGGATGTCAGCCATTAGGCAAACAATGCTCCCTGCTTTTTCTGAGGAATGGCAGTGCTGACAGGTATTAATCCATGCCATGATATGCACGGCAATAATCTCTGCTTGACTGAGATTAATTAAAGTGAAATCAGACTTAGATAAATAGGGGAACACATAATTGAAAACAACTGATACCACCCAAAAGGCTCTCGTTTCCTGGTGTCCCCAGAATCACAGTACCAAATATCAACAAGTCTAATTCGGGTCATTAACATAAAATACAATACAATAGTACTGTGACTTCCAAGGGAAGTGTTGGGTTTGCAATACATCATCTCTTTAAATTATTTCAAATTGCTTTTGAAACTGCCTTTACCCACCATTATGCTCATGAATACTGAGAGTCCTTTAAAAGCCATTGTCCTCCCTGCTTTCCGAGCAATCACTTTTTCTGTAACGTCCGGCATTACAGATCGGAATGCAGCACACTCTGAAGTTTGACATTAGAAACAGTACTGTAGACAACGGAGAAGAAACATCAGTCATCTATTCTGGGCCAAACACTATTTGGTGTAAAAAAAAAATTACAGTCAAAGTTTTGACTAATCCTGCTATTGAACTTGAGCTTAAAGGAGTCACAAGAGGTCCCCTGGGGTCTTGAGAGAGTAGCTTTACTGTCTTGGTTGTACACAGGAGAGCTCAGTGTCAGAGAAATTACTTGTATAAGGAGCTGGGGAGGAGCATTTGCTTCACCCGGAGATGCATTTCTTAATAGTCTTAGCTTGCACCTGTATGCCTATCCTTTTCTGAACTCTGCTCTGAGTTTTCTTTGGCATGTTCTCTTTTACTATCAAGGGAATTCTGATTATTTGAATTGGTATTGGAAGACAAGATGTCATTTTTCTGTAGAAACCAGGTACACATATATACAGAATGTGCACATTACCTGCAAATGAGCAGAGCTGAAAGTGCTTTGCAGTGGCAGATGATACAAAATATTATAATCACCACGTTTTCATTTGCAAGATGCCATTAAATGTAGAACACATCACAGATTAGATAACTTTTTAGAGAAAAGAGAAATTCTATATTCAGTGACATATATCTCTAAGATGCATTCCATTATAACAATATGAAAAATGAAGCTCAAGTATGTTATGTAAAGGAAATAAGAAATTACCATTACATATTCCCTACTAAAATATGTACTCTTTCCAAGATAGTTAACTTTTGGAGCAATCTATAATCCATAGCAGATGGTCTATATTCTTCTCCATAATTAACATTGCATTTCTGAGAAAAAAAATCTTTGATATAATAGGAATGAAATATAAAGGGTGACATTTCTGGTATTTCAAGTCCCTCAGCAGTGCATCCCCTGCTTCTGAAAGTATGAGAGCAAGATTTGGTTTAACACCTTTCAGCATGCAGTTGAGAGAAATTATAATTCAATTAAAAAGTTCTGTTGTTTTATTAAAATCAAGAGAAAAGCAAAAATGCTCTGACATAACTAATCAACAATAACAATAAAGCATCCATGGTGCCATGACTCTTATCCCAAGAAATAAAGAAATACACTAGTCACTGATCAAATAGAATGGGGC